TGATGGAAATACTTTAGCATCTGGTAGTGGTGATAACTCTATACGTTTATGGGATGTTAAGACAGGAGAATAAAAAAATAAATTAGATGGTCATACTGATAGTGTAAATTCAGTATTCTTCTCTCATGATGGAAATACTTTAGCATCTGGTAGTGGTGATAACTCTATACGTTTATGGGATGTTAAGACAGGATAATAAAAAAATAAAATAATTGGTCATGCTGATAGAGTAAATTCAATATGTTTCTCTCCTGATGGAAATACTTTAGCATCTGGTGGTGGAAATCAGTGGTTTTGTGATGATAATTCAATACGTTTATGGGATATTAAGAGTGGAAAATTAAAATATAAATTAGATGGTCATAATAGTTGTATAAATTCAGTCTGTTTCTCTCCAGATGGAAATACTTTAGCATCAGGTAGTGGTGATAACTCTATATGTTTATGGGATGTAAACACAGGACAATATAAAAATAAAATAATTAGTTATGCTGATAATGTAAATTAAGTAAGTTTCTCTCCTGATGGAAATACTTTAGCATCTGGTAGTCTTGGTAACTCTATACTTTTATGGGATGTTAAGACAGGATAAGAAAAAAATCAATTATATGGTCATACTAATGAAGTAATTTCTGTCTGTTTCTCTCCTGATGGAAATACTTTAGCATCTGGTAGTTATGATACCTTTGTACGTTTATGGGATGTTAAGACAGGATAATAAAAAAATAAATTAGATGGTCATAATAGTTGTATAAATTCAGTCTGTTTCTCTCCAGATGGAAATACTTTAGCATCAGGTAGTAGTTATGAGCCTATATTTTTATGGGATGCTAAGACCGGAAAATAAAAAAATAAATTAGATATGGGTTGTCTAAATTCAGTATGTTTCTCTCCTGATGGAAATACATTAGCATTTGGTTGTTATTGCTCTATACATTTATGGGATGTTAAAACAGGACAATAAAAAAATAAATTAGATGGTCATTCTAATAGTGTAAATTCAGTATGCTTCTCTCATGATGGAAATACTTTAGCATCTGGTAGTACTGATAAGTCCATATGTTTATGGGATGTTAAAACAGGACAATAAAAAAATAAATTAGATGGTCATACTGATAGTGTAAATTCAGTATGCTTCTCTCATGATGGAAATACTTTAGCATCTGGTAGTACTGATAAGTCTATATGTTTATGGGATGTTAAAACAGGATAATCTTTTGAACCAACAGATATAAATGACAAAGATATTTTATCTTAAACTCCATTATTAGCAAACAATCCCTTTCGAGAAGTTAATATTTATTTATAACTTTTATAGCTAACCCCATGACAATCTTACGAATATCAAAGTCACTACTTTTTTAGGTCTAAAATGCTCTAATTTTGGAAGGACAATTTTTAAATTATCAAGGGTATGATTTAAGCTTATTGTTAAAATCAAAAGGAAGTATATTTTTGGATATTAAAATTTAAGAATAATAAAAGAAATGATTATTATAATAAACATAACATAAAACAAGTAATTTAATAATTTCTACTATTTTGAGTAAGCGTTGAATGTTCTGGAAGACTTCCTCTTCAAATAGTATTAAAAGAGGGACAAGTGTTAATAAGCGATTTGAGAGCTTTGTTAGAATAAGTGATAAAAGAGGATCACTCGCAAGTGATAAAAGAGGATCACTCGCAAGTGTTAAATTAGACTTTCAATATGAATAATTATAAGTGTATTCATAATTTAAAGTTTTCTTACTTCATTCCAATGGAAAAAAACATTCTAGGTTGCATATAAAAATAAGGTCTATTCTTGTTAAGCATCCAGATCTTTTGAGAAATTCCATGGTACAACTTCACAGAATTGGAATTGTTGACATTTCCAGATTTATATGCTACTGCTTAAGGTTTCAAATAATACATGGATATAAAGGAGCTCGATCATTGTAAATATTGTTAAGGAAAATCAAAAAATGGGTTGTTCCATTAGAAGTTTATTTCAGCAATTATATAATGTTGAATGTTATTTTTTTAATTTGAAAAATAAATTTTCTATATTTTGTATAAAAAAAAAATTTTTTCAAAAGGAGAAAAAACATTTTCTTATATTAAGCTAGGAGATTTTATTTCTGTTTTGGCACTCAAATGATATACCACATACTATCTCCTTTTGCCCATTGTTTGTGGTAGTCTTGTTCTGCTCCTGTTGCTGTCGATTGCCCAATTGTCTTGTGCTAGTTTTGTTCTGCTCATGAATAGCTTAATAAAAGTTATCATTATCAAATTTTACATCTTTGACAATTGAGTTTTCTAACTATAAATTGATTTCAGTTGTCAGACAACGTTGAATGTTCTAACAATATATATTTTTTTTTTTTTTTTAATAATATAAATTTTTGTAAGAAACTAAATTGTTGTAAAAAACTAAATTTTTGGACAAAAAAAATTTTTAAAAGGAAAGAAATATTTTCCTTAATTTAAAAGATAGGTTGGGGTCATTGGGAAAAGTAGACGAAATGAAGGCTAATTTCAAATTATTTTAGAAAAAATACTTCCTTAATTTAGTTTATGAAAATCCTAGACTTACTTTTATAAATTCCATCAATTCATCCTAAACTATTAAATTGATATTTTCAAGGAACTAATTACTTTATTCTAATGTTAAAATCTATTTTTATTTCAAGTCATTTTCATTATACCAAATGTAATTAAAATTATTACATTTACAAATCATTTTATTTCATTTTTTCATCTTAATTATTATCAAATTAACTTTCAAGTTCTTTAACAATTTAATTTAATTTTAGTTCCATAATCTTTTCTCTTCCATAAACTTTTATTCAATCTTTTGATTTTTTAAATCATAAATTTATCTCAATTATGAAATTTGTTCTTTATATTCTTTCATATTCTATTTTTTCAACTCCTCAATTTTTTATTGATGATTTTATGTTTTAAAAATCAACTTTTCTTCGAATTCTTTTTTATTCTTGTCTGATATTATTCTAATAACAAAAATTCTCAATTCAATCTTTAAATACTATCCTCATAAATAAATATCTAATTCTTGGCTTATTACATTTTTCTTGTAAAATTATTTTATTGACATAATAATCCACTTTCAGTTTTATTTAATTCTGATTTTAAATATTCTATTTTTAAAAGTTAAACATAATTTTGGAATATTTTATTTCTATACTATCAAAAAAGAATATATAAATTAAATTTTCTCTTTATTTTTTTTGGCGATCTTATGATTAACTCTTAATACATAAATTTTCATTTATTTGCTTTAATTTATTTAATTTAAACATTGATTTAAAAATTGCATAGACTTAAATTTTAGAATTGGTTAAAAGATGCCAACACTGAAACCATTTGCACATTCTTTATTCTTTGAATCAAGACTTCTTCATAATTAAACATGATTGAACCATTTTTCAAGATGGTTGACCAAGAAAGTGATATGTAGTCTATTAGAAATTTAGACATCTGGAAATCAAGATCTGTTAAGATATTCTATTATTTTAATTATAAAATATTAGAGATTTGAATAACGTAATTTGGAATTTGGACTTTTATAATAAATACACCATATTATAGGTATTTACAAGATTGAAGAGAATATTGTGTGAAACATCGTAAATATATATTAAATTGTCACAAGATACAATTACAGGATGACAGATAACTATTAGATAGAATGCTATCATTTT